CATTTTGAATTTTCTCTAAAAACAGCTGACGTGGCAGCTCGGCTACTTTTATCTTGCGCCCATGATTTGGCTCCTTTTTTACAGGAAATTCATAAATTGTCTACTAAAACATTGTGAAAGATGGAAGAAAGGCCAATTAAAGCACTAAAAGCTGCTCTGACAAATCAGAATTAGAAGAAAACTAGAGAAATTGCTCAAAATGCAAACAGTTGCTTGAAAGGCAAAAAGTTTCTCGAAATACGAGAAGTTGCCAAAAAGTTGCCGAGCAACTCGTGGAAAGCCCTATGCGCATTACCCTGATTCGATCCGTCAATCAAGGTCAACTAGATGATGCAAATTATTTCCAAAGTACGGTGTTATTTGGCGTTCGGCGAGGGAATAAATTGAGGAGTTCGAAGCGGGTTTTATCACTGAGCTGGTGATTCAACTCTTTCTCAATGGTACTACATTTTAAGGCCAAGAGATTTTATACGGGTTTAAATGAGCGGAAATTTTCATAGAGAGACACAAATAAACACAAGGTAACATTTGGCGTCCGTGCGTTTGAGTCCATATATTTATTCACAATTTTATCTATCAAATACTTAAGGGTATAATACGTTTGCACAAATTTAATCGTGTAAAAAAATCAACAAGCAATACGTTAATTGTAAATAAATCGTTTCCCTCCCTTATATGACTCACTAGATGCGATTTAACCCTGCAAATGCTACTTTGTCAAATGTTAATTTGTCAATCATCGAGTCCCACTGAGAAGCTTCTTAATCTCTGTAGTTCTATTCACACTATAGATTCATTTGTAACCAAAATAAATGATATTTGTAGATGACTGTATTCTGATTAATGCCCGCTACAAAACATATCGTTAATATGGTTGTATTGATCACACGTACTTGGAAATATACTTGGTCACTGACTTGCTGAAAGGGCACCTGAAACCTTAATTTAGTCACTTATTTTGCAACGTCAGAAATTACAACTTATCACGTCACTTTCAGCCCCCCGCTTTTAGCGCTACTCTATAAATACTAAGCAATTTGAGAAGCCATCCATTCCAGTATTCAATTTGATTAAAAAGGATTCTGAATTACGTGAAGGTGAAAATTAAGTACCGCGCGCTTGCTTACTTGACGAGGGAGCTGGCTTTAAAAACAGTTTTTATCTATAGTTCCTTTCCCACGGGACCACTGTGTCATTGTGAAGGAGGTGGTCATTATTTAAGAGTTAGTTTTTTTGAGGTTTCAGACGATATATTGAAAAAGAATTTTCTAATACCTTCACGTCTTGAAAACTGCTTAGGTTCAGCGTAATCTTATTCTACTGCGCTGCTAAGCTTGAGCACATTCTATTTTTGGCTCCACTGAGCAACTGCTCCGTTGATATGAAACTGAAGGAATGACTTTTTGAGGTTATATAAAGGGCAATTCCACATCGGACCGTGGGGTTGCACTGAGCTTACTGCCAGTAAGGTGGAAATAACAAAATGCGCACAAATACCTCAGTTAAATGGCGAGTACCTTATCATTACATGAGTTTTACATTGAATAGACCTTTACACGAGTTTTTTCAAATTTGGATAAAAAGACGAATAATCATTGATACCGCTGGAAAGACATCTGGAAAGAGCACCTTAAAACTGGGAAACCGTGATACCTTGAATGCGAGCGAAGATATATTGCTTCACAAAGTCACTAAATTTTACAGACTCTTGTTTGGTGAGTCGAGGGGGGCGTGGGTAGGTTGGTACGAGCTTGGTCCCCCACCATACAAACGTCTCTAAAATTCGGCGACTTTTTGGGGCTGAATATTCGTTCGTTTTCAACAAATCACGTCCAAACTTGGAATCTTTGCTAATTTTAAGGCTATAGCTTTCTTTTGACCCGTTTTCACGAATTTTCCCGAACTGGTCCAATGGAAAGGTCTATTAAATATAACTCTTGTTACCTAATTGTCTTTAACATACAGAACATGTGTAAAAGACTCAGGGAAAGACTCATTCTTTTACCCGGGACTGATTTGCCGTTAAATCTGTGCTAAATCAGTTTTTGTTATCACTATGTTCGTAAATGAAGGAATTTGTATCGCGCCCGCGTTTAACTGAGCTGTTACCATGTTCAGCCATTTGAAGGGTTAATTATTATTAATATTGCCTGCTCTAGTAACTGAGATTTCATTTCATGCATGATTTCAAGGAAAAATGATTATTAAAATTGGTTTTTCAAAAATGGCTTCCCAATCCATGGTTATGATAGAACAGTATGATAATCTATGATTACGGTGATTAGTTTTTCATGATCTTCATACACTGACGTGCTCGCCTCTTTTTTCATTTAAACATGATCAGGTCATTTATGTTGTACATCTCAGCTCAAGAGGGCCAAACTGAAAGCGTTAGTTTTATGAGGTTTCAGACGTTATATTGAGATAATACCTTTACGTTTGAAACAGACGTGGGCACTTGAAAACTGCTTACGCTCAACGTAATCTTATCCGATTGCTAATAGCCCAAATATGCGTTAGATAAGATATTATTACAAGTGTATACAGCTGAAGGAGCTTCTACAAAAGAAGTGCTCATTGACAAAAGAGCTTGTTGCTATGCCATCTTCCCAAAACGGAAGTTTATTCCAGTCTATGCTGGCCTCCCACACGTGAGACTAAATAGTGTAACCTGTAACATTTATTTCATAGGTCAGTTACCTAGAGATATACGTTGGGCCGAGTGAGTAACAAAGTGAAAGGACAAGGATGGTTTCTGAAGAAATGAGACGACATTTTTTCGGCCAAATGACCTTGGAGAACTTTTTACGAAAAAATTGAAAAAAAAGTGCCGGGTCACTTCCTTTTTGTCGCTTGACTGGGTAACTGAGTGTTGAAATGGGTCAACTTACTTAAACATTTTTTTTAAAAAATTAGCTTACCAAACGATCACAATAAAAATAAATGCTAAAAATCAGTTGTCAAAGAACAAAAGAGAAATAAGAGAAGCCTGAAATGAAGGAGGGTGCCTCTTTAGCTTCTAAACGTTTACCAACCGAAAATCATAAGCCATTTATATTTGACTGAAAAGAAGCTCGAAGGACAAGTTTCAGGCACCCAATATAAGACCGAAAATACAACTGCGAAAGGAAAAGTAGGAGAAAATACCTCTTATCTTTGCTAACTTGGAGAAAAACAAAACATTTAATTAAATTATCATTTTTTTTAATTCACTCCTATAGCTACTTTATTTGCTGGCGTTTTGTTTCACTTTGGTGCCTAACATGTTTGCTAAAAATCAGGCTCACAGTCTCAATCAAATACCTGTATTTCAGTTTCCAGCGTATTTTACTCAAGCGTTACGCAACGCCAGTTGAATGCAATATATGACAACAACATTTATCATATTACAAAAAGTTTTTAGATTTTCGCAGCCTCGACAATTGCGTTTTTCAGGCGTAGTTAATCGATGGACCGATAATCGATGAAAATCTTTAGTAATCGTTATTAATCTTCGATCGGTATCATTTTCCGATAGAAATCTTCCATGACTGATTTATCAATTTTTATCGATTACTATCGATTATTATCGGAAAAGTATCCTGAAGTATGTCAATCGATAGGAGTTCTACATTAACGACGATGTTCTTGTCCATACAGTATTATTGAGTCGTTCTTTGGTGATAGTATGCAGTTCTTTAATTGATAAAATACTTAAAAAGAACAAAATCAGTGTTCTTGTGATTTCAATGTGACGCTTTTTAAAAGAAAGGAATGTAAGAATAAATCGTAAAGTAAACAAGAAATAAAAATTCAGCAGCACAGCAGTGATACTTTTTAGCCAGGTTATAACTTATGTTGCCTAATATTCAAAAAATGTGGTTTTGTTTCCTATGAAACATCTCCAAACTATTTATGACTTGCCAAAGTTTGCGTTTTTACCGGAAGTTGACTCCATTGACCGAGAGAGGATCTGGGTCGGTTACTAAGAAAAAACACAAGTCCTCAATTTGCGGACAGCGGTTTTCCTCTGGAAGTGTGCGAACTAAACAAGATGGCGACATATTCTTCTGGTACGGCTGTCAAAGAAGAATCCAAAGAAGCCGCAGGAAATGGGTAGGTTAATCTATTTTTGAACTTTTTGCGCTAAAAAATACTTTTCCTTGTACGGAATTTCGTGATTTTTTTCAGTTTCAAAGTTTCCTTCCTGGGTTTAAACGAAAAAAAATGCCTGCCTGCGGCCCTGACTACAAAAGCTTTTGAGTGCCCGACCCCAGGGGGTCATCTTTTTGGCCTAAACTGGTATGTGCATGTGAACAAGATATAATTTTCAGGGTCTTGAGTCTTAAACTGGGAACATAATTTATTTCACTTTTTGGAGTCTTGAACAGGCCGTATCATTTTTGGACCGAAAGCCTTTAAAAGAGTGTGAAGGTTGGCTGTAAGAGGTCGTCAGTATATACTTTCTTCATTGTGATACCAAGACCTTTTTCACAAAAAAAATTCATGATTTAAAACGTTAATATTTAATTTTGCCATACGAAAAGACATGAATCCGGGTCATGAAATAAGGAGTCTTGTCTTAAAAGAGTCGCGAAATGAACAATTGTTTTGGATGTCTTAATCAGGGTTAGGACTTGATGGCCTCGGTGGTACATTAACATCCCCCTGGGCATCACCACATCGAAATACTTCCTTTTTTTTCCAGTAATTTTGAGAGAACTAAAATTTGTTTGAACAAGAATAATCACAACGCCATATCTTTTTACTTATCAAGGAAATTTTATTGACAACCAAACGAAAATTCAAGAAAAGATTAACTTGGAATCAGTTCATCCGATTTCCGTTACTTCTTTGCGTTTTCTTTGCTCTCGGATCAGTAATGTTCTAACCGCGTCGACGGCATGAGGCATACTTAAGTACAACATGTGTGGGCCTATAACAGCACTTATGGGTCCGTGGGTTGTAGTAGGTAAAACCGCATCTCAGTCGAAGACGGCAGGGGACAAACTTGGAGATCACTCTACGGTTACAGCACTTTTGGGTCCGCGGGTTATAGTAGGCAAAACCGCATCTCAGTCGAAGACGGCAGGGGACAAACTTGGAGATCACTCTACGGTTACAGCACTTTTTGGGTCCAGTTACAGCACTTTTGGGTCAGTAGGCTAAACCACATCTCAGTCGAGGACGGCAGGGGACAAACCTGGAGATCACTCTACGGTTACAGCACTTTTGGGTCCGTGGGTTGTAGTAGGCAAAACCGCATCTCAGTCGAGGACGGCAGGGGACAAACCTGGAGATCACTCTACGGTTACAGCACTTTTGGGTCCGTGGGTTGTAGTAGGCAAAACCGCATCTCAGTCGAGGACGGCAGGGGACAAACCTGGAGATCACTCTACGGTTACAGCACTTTTGGGTCCGTGGGTTGTAGTAGGCAAAACCGCATCTCAGTCGAGGACGGCAGGGGACAAACTTGGAGATCACTCTACGGTTACAGCACTTTTGGGTCCGCGGGTTATAGTAGGCAAAACCGCATCTCAGTCGAAGACGGCAGGGGACAAACTTGGAGATCACTCTACGGTTACAGCACTTATGGGTCCGTGGGTTATAGTAGGCAAAACCGCATCTCAGTCGAAGACGGCAGGGGACAAACCTGGAGATCACTCTACGGTTACAGCACTTTTGGGTCCGTGGGTTGTAGTAGGCTAAACCGCATCTCAGTCGAGGACGGCAGGGGAGAAATTTGGGTATTTTACGTCCGAAACAGCACTTTTGGGTGATTCGGTTGTATATACCACAGCGTGACGCAACCGGCGTGTTGCTTTTTAGCACATTTTCATCAGCTTCCTCGCTGGATTCTGTAAAGAAATAGGGTCAATTGAAAAAAGCAAAATTCGAAAGCAGTTAATTTTTTGCACCACTTGGTTCATGTAGATAGCGGGTGGTAGCAACAAAAAGGATTTAAGTCGAAAGTAAAACATAAAGAAATCTTAAACTCATAAAGTATATGATGTCTTTTGTAGTAGGAGAGAGTTTTGGCTATACAATCTGGCTCTTCTAGTCACTATATATACTGAATAAAGAAGTTTTTTTTTTCAAAATTGAAACTTAACAGCAAATTTAACTCATTTGGCCGAATCTTATCTCATAATTGAAATGTTTGAACCATATACAATGTAAGGTCATGACAACTTTTTAGCATAAACTGAGAGTAAATAAAAGCCGTTGATTTAAGTTGCCGTTCCTCAAATAAAAGCCGTCCTTCGATTAATCGCCTCCCTCAGTCGAATAATCGCCCCCTTTGAACGGAAATATTTAAAATAAGCGCCTCCCTCGAATAATCGCTCTCCCCCCTGTCAAGTGTAAGTGCAATAGGATTCAGCAAAACTGATCAGTGACGATTCAAGCAATGAAAATTAATCAAGGAACGAAATTTGGAACACCTAAAAAGCCTATGTTCAGTTATATATTAATTTGATGTGATTATTTTCTGATTTAATGGTATGATAAAAAAAATATTTAGGGCACGATTTCCAGTGAGCAATATTTGAAATAATCACCTCCCTCAAATAATCGCCTTCCGTCGAATTTGTGCGGAAAAAGAAATAATGGCCCCGGCTATTATTTGAGGAAATATGGTACCCACAAAATGTACCTCAAGGGAAGTACGTTAGGTTATGAAGCGTACTGAGGACAACTACTCTTCTAACCTACCCATGAGAGGGCCGTTTTCGTCATCAGCGTCAGCAGCTTGTTCTTCCTCATAATCTTTTTCATCCTGTCCTGCTTCGTCCTCCTTTTCTTCGTCATAAACTTCTTCATCTTCATCCTGGGTTTCTGTAAATGGGTCATCAGTAAACAGGTAATAAAATCATAAGAGAGCAATTTAAACTCCGAAAAATGAATGCACACATTAATAAGGCATGACATCTCGTCAGTGTATAAGTATATTTCAAATTGAGAGTAAATAAAATCATTATTGTTTTTTTGTTTGATTTGAGTTAAGTATGTAAGAAACGTACTGAGTACAACTACTTTTCTGACTTACCCATGAGAGGGCTGTTTTCGTCATCAGCGTCAGCAGCTTGTTCTTCCTCATAATCTTTTTCATCCTGTTCTGCTTCGTCCTCCTTTTCTTCGTCATAAACTTCTTCATCTTCATCCTGGGTTTCTGTAAATGGGTCACCAGTAAACAGGTAATAAAATTATAAGAGAGCTATTTAAACTCCGAAAAATGCACACATTAAAAAGGTCTGACATCTCTTCAGTGTATAAATATATATCAGCAAACTCAGAGTAAATAAAAGCCATTATTGTTTTGTTTGATTTGAGTTACCCGCAAAATGTACGGCAAGGTATGTACGGTAAGTAATGAAGCGTACTGAGGACAACTACTCTTCTAACCTACCCATGAGAGGGCTGTTTTCGTCATCAGCGTCAGCAGCTTCTTCTTCCTCATAATCTTTTTCATCCTGTCCTGCTTCTTCCTCCTTTTTTTCGTCATAAACTTCTTCATCTTCATCCTGGGCTTCTGTAAATGGGTCATCGGTAAACAGGTAAAGGTAATAAAATCATAAGAGAGCTATTTCAACTCAGGAAAATGAATGCACACATTGATAAGGCATGACATCTCGTCAGTGTATAAGTATATATCAGCAAACTGAGAGTAAATAAAAGCCATTATTGTTTTCTTTGATTTGAGTTACCCACAAAATGTACGGCAAGGTATGTACGGTAGGTAATGAAGCGTACTGAGGACAACTACTCTTCTAACCTACCCATGAGAGGGCTGTTTTCGTCATCAGCGTCAGCAGCTTGTTCTACCGCATAATCTTCTTCATCCTGTCCTGCTTCTTCCTCCTCGTCTTCGTCATAAAATTCTTCATCTTCATCCTCGGGTTCTATAAATAGGTCATCAGTAAACAGTGAATAAAATAATAAGAGAGCTATTTAAACTCCGAAAAATGCACGCATTAATAAGGGCAGCCCTCCCGAATCAAGCCTGTTAAACTTCTTCAGTGTATGTGCAGCTTTTGCTCAAATTCCTACTCAAAACTTCAAACCTAAAATTGGAGGAATAAGACTGGTTCACTAGAGGCATAGAGGAGTCTTTTATGTTCTACAATCGCAACCATCTTTTAATCGAGAAGGGGCAGATACCAAGTAATTATTGGGGATCTGGAACAATGTCCTGGGGTCACTGCGCAAGCGCAGTGACTTCACGCACTTTGGAAGTTTTAATTTAGTGGGAACAAATGGAAGTTAAGAATACTGTACTTTTGCTCAACTAATACCTGTGAGTAAGTTGTTTTCCTCGTCAGAGTCAACATTTTCTTCGCCAGCTGCTTCTTCGTTGAATTGATCTTGTTGTGTTTCCCAATTTTCCTCGTCTGTTTCTAAATGATAGAAAGTAATTAAAACAAAAATTCAACAAACTGAATAATTGATTAGTCAATGAACTGATCATGCGGGAAAAAAACCACCTCAACAAGTAGATTTATTGAATTTGTACTGAACTATTTAGAGTGATTGAACTTTTGTTCTCACGGTTTAATTTTATAAGGCCCATGCAGAGGCTACATTAGCGAGTCCAATAAAGGACTTTTTTCTGTTCGGAAAATTAAAAGGCGACACGAAGACGCTCGCCAAAACTTTATGGACATTTTGGTTGTTTTTTTCGATGGAAAAGTCAGTTGCTTCTCAGTTGTTTTTCATGCTTATTGTCTGGACTATTTGAACAAAAAAAGGTTTGCGATGTGTAATTTCTCCGTTACAGAAAGCATGCAGTATTCTTTTTCTTTGAATGTTCAATCTAAACTATAAAAAAACCTTCTTGTAACTAAGAGGACACCGGGAATTAATATGACTAGAAGACCAGGTTGATAATACAGCAGAAGTGAATTGCAGTGCCTGCAAGTGTGAGAAATTATCTAACAAAACTCATGAAATGGTCAAGTTCGTAAGATTATACCCTTGTCCTCTTGCGTGGGGATCCTTTCATCTTCCCTGTCATCTTCTACACGATTTTCAGCTACAACTTCAGCATTATTTATCGCAATGAGAGTGTTTTCATGAGGTGCAACACTCTCCTCAGCCAATGTTTCTGCTTTTATAACAGCAAAAACCGCGAGAAGAACGAGTATAATTCCTCGAGTAACACCCTTCATGCTGGCTGCCGGCTACAGTGCCGTTTCTGTTCGTGAAACAGGCCTTTTCTAACAAAGCAAAGCGGAAGCAAATTCCAAATTACTAGTTGAATTGTCCTTTTTAAAGTGTAATTGCCTCTCAGGTAAAGTGAGCAGCTACTTATGAGGCTTACAGCAGATATCAAGTGTGAAAAGAGTGCTTACTTAAATGGTCAATATATGGGAGGATGAATGATCACAGTTTGTATTCAAGAAGACGGACTGGCCGTTTTTCATTTTTTTCTTCTTTAACCTGTATGAAGGAAAGACCCTACATCTACTAAAGTTATCAAAAAGTTGAAAAAACTTAGGCAGCATTCCACAATTTATAACGTCCTCAAGATATAGTACATGTAAATAGAAAAGGAAACGTTAATTGTAACAATATTGATTCCCTATCCTTCCTTCATATGAATCAGTTGATGCGATTTAACCTTCATAAAATGATGAAAATATTACTTTGTCAACCATCGAGTCCCTTTGCAGTAGAATCATTGAGAAGCGTCTTTGATCTCAAAAGTTAAAATGTTCATAAACCTTATCTACTTGCACTATTGATTCAGTTGTACGGGGCAGATAAAATTGTCATCAAAATAAAAGATATTTGTGGCCGGATGACTGTATTCGTATACCTAACGCTAAAAGGAAGGAGTCAATGCCCGCTACGCAGGCAAGCACAAAATATATCGTTAATATTGTTTTATTCTTAACTCCGCGATCCTTGTTATTTTACTGTACTTACTTAGAAATATATTTGGTCATCGATTTGCTGAAAGGGCACCTGAAACCTTAATTTAGTCACGTATTTGGAACGTCAGAAATTATAACTTATCATTGTTCTTTCAGCTCCCCGCTTTTAGCGCTACTCAATAAATGCAGTAACTAATTTGAGAAGCCATCCATTATAGCATTCAATTAGATTAATGAAGGACTGTGATTTACGTGAGGGTGAAAATTAAGTGCGCTCGCCCTTGACGAGTGAGCTGGTTCTCTTACTCTAGTTTCCGTTTCCCAAGGGGCCATTGCGTGATTGGGACGGCTGAATTGAATAGACTGAGACATTTTTTATATTAAAAGGTTTTTCACGGCTGGCTTGTTCATTTTTTTTACAATGCCAATTACGTGTCCATATTCGCTATGGAGTTTTAATGATAATATGTAAATGACAAAATCACAGCTTTGCATCAAACAAATATGTCACCCAAGCATTAAATCAAACGTTTCCAATGAACAAAAATGAACTATTGAAAAACCCCTATTGCAATCCGTTTCAATCTTCGTCGAGTTTGTCCATCCCTGTCTTCTTTTATATTTGCTTCGCTGTTTATAAATTCTTTTAATTTTTTGAGTGGTTATCTTACGTTTTACTCAACTTGGTGGCCGGTTCCTGCACTCTTTTAATTTTGATATTAAGTTTCTTGTTACAGCTTCTTTAACATTCCCCGCATAAATCAACCGCCATATGTGTTTTACAATATTTCGTAAAACCTCTAACTTTTAACATTTTTCTTTATCTGTGAAAACTTTGAGAACGTCTGCAGTAATGATATGTAACTCAGACGGAGTGCCAAATTGTGTTTGGGGACATTTCTCGTTAGGCCAATGGGGTTCATTTCAGGGGCTGCCCCACAGCGTTTATTGTGGCTCTGTCAGTCAGTAAAATAACAAAATGCGCACAAATACCTTATCAACGGTACGTAATCATTAGTTCTCAGTTAAAATTACACTGAACATTTTTTACCTTAATCGTGAGAAAGCTCTTTAACATACAGAAGACGTGTAAAAGACTCATTTTTTGACTGGTATAATTGGTCGTTAAATATAGCTGCTAGATGTCTTTGTTATTACTCTGTTCGTAACTGAAGGCATTTTTATTCTATTAAGCCGTTAGCATGTTTAGTCTTTTTGAGGGTTTTCTTGTAATATTTGCCTGCTCAAGTAACTGAGAAGTTATTTCATGCACGATTTCAAGGAAGAAACTATTATAAAAATTGTTTTTTAATAATGGTTTCCCAATCTATGGCTATAGAAGTAGGATGATCTATGATCACCATGTTTTTTGTCTCTACTGACATTAAGTGTAAACAGCCCTTTATAACATAGCGCGCGTGCTTGCCCTATATAAGTCCTATTGAGCCGCTATGAACTAACCTGAGATCAGGCCCAATTTGAGCGGTTCTCATACATTCTCTATAACGGCTACCGCTGAAATTGGGCCTGATACAAACTATCGCAAGTTTGTGCTCGTTACGGCCAGATTTTGGCCGTAACGCTGATTGGCTGTTAGAACAATGCCACAAGATCTGATTGGCTGTCGGAAACGCCGGAAGTTGAAAGCGCTTTTTCCTCGCGTGGTTGTTTTCGTGAATGATCCTTCGTCGGCGGAGAGAAGGATGGATTTTGCTGTCTTTTTCATTGTTTTATGGTCTTATGGTGGGAAAATATGCCTTAATATGTGCCATGAAAATTCAGAAAATTCATGTGGTTGTTCATATCTTCTCAGGATTTGCTTAATTTACGGAAAGTGAGTGTATCGCGAAGTTGAATCCCTCTGCAAGTTGTTGACCGCTAACAAGGTGCATTTTGATTTACCAACAAACGTTGGGGTGCAAATCAAAATACTGTCCATCTTAAAACTGGTTTCATTTGAAAGTTTAGCCGGGAATGACTTCTCTGAACGGGGTGCGCAGGCGGAGGCTCACTGCGAAAGAAACCTCAATCGCCAACTGTGAAGTATTAGACGAAAAATATCGCATCGTTGTTCAAGGAATTTTCAGTGTTGACAGACTGGTTGTTTGACTACGCTTTCTGTTAAAAGTAAACCAAGAAAACTGGTGCCCTCGCTCGTTGGCTGTTTGCTTTTGTTTTTAAAGATTTATGTACTGAAAATCGGGGAAAATTGCCGAGGAAAATATCAAGACAACGGAAAAATAGAGATTTCAGTATTTTAAATTCCAGAGCGCCTAGCCAAAATAATAAAACTAGTAGAACATCGTGTCGCCGTCTTTTCGAAAACTTTTTACCTTCTACGCCAACAGAAGTAACCTTCGAGATCTCTATTAATCTCGCAAGAAGTTAAATGTGATTGTGCTGACTGTTTTATTTTTAGCTGAAAAAATTAACAGATAGAGTTATTTTTAAGTCAGCCAGTCTGCATTTTTCCCACGCGTGAAAAATTCGCATACTAGAAAAACAAGCAACGGAAGTAATTCTGATTGGCTGATTCGGCAAATGTCAATCAATCAAAAAGTGGGCGGCAGACATTTCGTTAAAGGTTTGTATCAGGCTCTCTTTTCGTTTCGCCTTGCCCGCCGGAATGTAATTTTCAAAGCGAAACGGAAATAGAGCCTGATCTCAGGTTAGCTATGAACAAAATCTTTTTATTTACGCACGCCCGTGCGTAAATAAGGTGACGTGAGCATTTTTTTACCTGGCTGTAAAGTTGTCGTCTTTTAAGCTGCAGTGCACTTTTCCTTCTCTTTAAAATATGGAAGAAACCAGCGAAGAACTGCACAATTTTTCTATCGGCATTGACCTTTTAGGTCCTGGTCCAACAAGCAGCAAAAAAATAAAGCCGAATGAAAAAAAAAAAACTCGCAGGTTGCGCGTTTCGCAAATTTGTCGAAGACCAGCTGCAGCAAATATTTTGGCCGAAAGACATTCATTGGGAACAGAACAGACACCAACTGGTCATCAACAACATTTAAAGGCAAAATTTCCTTTTTATTGTTGTTTTTAAATTTGTTATGCACTTTGTTAACTCCGGACAATCCGACCGAAGCAGGAAAAATTTCTCTCACAATAACAACACAAATTACACAAGAAGATATAAATTTATTACTCACAAAAACAACTGCTGCCAGGTCTTCTCAAGAAGCCGTAATGACAAGCCAATGTTCGTAAATGAATATACGTTTAAAGAGGGATGACAGTCGTCTTCGCTAAAAACATGTTTTCTGGATTTCGCCGAGCAAAACGTAAACATCTTTTCAGCAAATCCAAACCATACTCCACGACTTCTCAGGAACATGTTAGTATTTTAACTATAGGTGAACTTTGAGACTCTTTTACCTTTGTTTCTGCTTAGTTTCCATTGATCATTAAAGAATAAAGAAGCAAATTTTCTTTCTCCCTTTTACAGAAAGAATATTTTCATTTAAACTAGACGATTGTGGCGTGTTCGTAATCAGCCAATAGAACCGTTTGTTATTGTGTCGCGCGTTACGAGAATTTTGCAGTTAATCAAAAAGCAAGCATTTTTGTCAGCTATGTTATAAAAGAATTTGCTCATGCTTTTAGCTGTGCGTATATCGAGTTATGGATGCACTTGGGAAGTTTGGAGAGCACTCAAGAAGCTAGAGTTGCACGAGGCGATCCAAACGTCCCGCGTGCATCCATAACTCGATAAATGCACGCTAAGCATGAACAAATTCTTAATTTTTAATAACAATTTAATCACCCATTTTTGAAATAACTTTTATGACTTATGTTGTAAATCATATTTCAAGGAGGCCAATTTGGAAGCGTTAGTTTTTTGAGGTTTCAGAAGTTATATTGAAATACAGTTTTCTAATACCTTAAGTCTGAAACAAGAAGTAGGCACTTGACAACTACTGACGTTCAATGTAGTATTATCCAACTGGTAATAGCCTGATATGCATAAGACAAGATATTCACGTCATTTAGAGTAAAAGTTTATACAGCCCAGAGGAGCTTCCACAAAAGAAACGCTTAAATATAGCTTGTTGCCATGTCAAATTCTCTAACTAAAGTTCATCCCAGTCTATGTTGGCCCCCTTTCACATGTAAGGCTCCCTGAAACCTTTAATATTAATTTCATAGTACAAGCTTACCTAGAGACAATTTCGGGCCGAGTGAATCATAAAGCGCAATTAGCACTGAAAAGAACAGCCGCTATAAAAATATTTTTTATTATTTTTATTATATTATTATTAACTGAAAGGATAAGTCACACGGTTTCTAAAGAAATGAGACGACATTTTTTAGTCTTAATTTTAAGTGGAAAATCGTAAAAAAGTGCCCTGTCATTTCCTTTTTGTCGCTTGACTGAGTAACTGAGTATTGAAATGG